TTATGTTTTTGGCTGCTGGGTGGTTTAGGGTTCAGGGGTCTAGGGTTCAAGGGTGTTGGGTTTGGGGTTTCGGGCTTTGGGTTTGGAGTTTGGGCGCTTGCGTTTTGGGCTTGGGCTTAACTTAGGGCTTCGCATGCTGCATGTTGACTTGCTTTCTTGTGCCTCTCATTGTGCAGGCACGAAGTATGATTAAACACACAGCCAATTGTTGAAGTTGCGTTTGTTTGCAGTGTCGGAGTGTCCGTAGAGAAGTTTACAAGTGCATGGGGCTTCAATCCTCTTCGTTTGCCGCCTCGTGAAGCCGTTCAGGATCCAACCCCCAAGTCCGTTACACCCTCACCCCCTAAAGGCCCCCAGCCCAAGCCTTAAACACCAGGAGCCCTCAACCCCAAAAGCCCCCAAAACCCTGACCTCCAAACCCCATATCGAAACCACTTGCACCTCTCCAACATCCCAACTCCCCAGCAACCTCAAGCCTAACCCCAGCTTCCCCTCCCGGAGCACCGACGCCAGGCTGAAGAGCAATGCCAGTCGAACCGCACCTGCTGCCAACTTTGGAAGCAACTCTGACACTGTGTCAGTGTGTCACACTTCTTTGCTGCTGTGTCTGGGTTGCTGAGGGCTTCGAGCTCAGGGCTTTAACACGCCAGGATTCTGGGGCTTAGGTCGGGGTCTGGGTTCAGCCAATAATTCGCGAGAGAGTGAGGAGAGAGAGAGAGAGAGAGAGAGAGAGAGAGAGAGAGGAGAGGAGAGAGGAGAGAGGAGAGAGAGAGAGAGAGAGAGCTTCAGGGATTTAGGCTTCCGTCGCATGCCCCGGTCAGCGATCAGGATGAAGAAGTCTCAGGCTTTGAGGGGATCCAACCATTAATTTTCAAGCACAGAGAAGCTGGGCCCTGAGGTTTCTGCTGTTGGTTTTTCATGCGAAGGCTTAGTTAAACTCCTTAAACTCACCCTTTACCGCGAGGCCCCAAGTGGCCCCAAGCCAGGAAAGCCGACGGACGCCAACCCTGACTCCAGAAATCCTGCATCCTTGAAACCCAAGTTCTGAATCCTAAACGTAAATGCTGAATCCGAATTCCCCAACATTCTGAAAACTCAAAACCTGACAATTTCCTAAATCCCTGAAGCGCGCCAAAGCCAAAGAAGAAGCCCCCCGGCCTCCCCTCGCCATGGCTCCAGCGCCAGAAAGGGGGCACAGTGTGCTTTGGACAGCTTGGGCCCGATCCGGATTTTGAGGCGAAAAAGCAAGGTTTGCGGGGTACATTACAACATATGTTAGAACCAGGATGCCGGCTGTCCCCACGACAATGGTACTTTCCAACCTTTTGGAATACACGGTAGATGTGTAAGGATAAGAAACTTGCGCCCCACCGGCCCAGCTGGAGGGTCGAACAGGTAGTGAAGTGTTGATGTAAGGTTTCTCCTCGACAAGAAAGTTGATGTTGCGAACATGCAGCCAATTTTTACAGGTTTAGGCCTCCGGGTTTATGGCCTTTGTGCCTAGACCTGAGGGCTTAAGGTTTATGCCGGATGCCTCGCGGACGATCCAGAAGCATCATGATTTGTGGCTTTGGAGTTTTTGTTGGGTTCTGGGTTTTAGGCGTTACAGTGCTTTGTTGGGATTGGGTGCTCGGCATTACGCGGATTTGGTCGGATGGGTCGCCGGCCAGACGGGGCTTTGTTTGTTTGGGTCGGCGTTACGGAGCTTTGTCCGGGTGGTATTAGATTCAAAAGATGCCTGATCAGAAAATGCGAACCGCGAACTCAAACAGTTCTAATATAGCAAGTCTATGGATTGAACAAGTTGCAAACGCGATGGTTAAAGAAGGCACAGTATTGGAACACCATCACGAAATTATTGTTATTCCTTCATGTTAGGTGCCAGCAGAAGTCTCAAACAGCATGCAGTGAAACACAGAGGAACAACAGTTGCAAGCTTTCAGTTCGCTGCAGGTTGTAAGTTTCAGTTCTAGCCACCAGTTGCTCAATGTTCTTTCATACTCTAGATGGCCTCGAACACCATCTCACACAGAGCGATTTGGAACGAACTCTGGCTGTAATACTCTCTGCGTTGTGCAAGCATACATTGAAAGAGCGTTGTCGCAGTACCGTTTAATGAAGCACAAACCACCAGACAAGTATTTGACTCGTGGAGAATGCAGATGCTACTGGGTCGGCATTTAGTACGTGAGCTGGCAGATAAGATTCTACAGATAAAACGATGTCAATGTGAAAGCCCATACCCCAAGGAATAGGATTACTAGTTTCGGGGCCCCATAACCCCGAATTTGCATGGGTCCTGCACTCCTCAACCCTAAACCATGATTCTGAAGCTTCGTAGCCTGATTTCTGAGCGAGGGTACGGGGCAATTCGGCCTGCGTCAATAGACTCTGCAGTCCAAGGTCTGATTCTTCTTATGGCTATTGCTGCTACGATTGCTGTGTATTTCTATTGCTACCATTCTAAGACTTGTTCAGCTGAACTACTATGAACGCACTATCCTATTGTTGTTCGTATCATTAGCGTGATTATTGGTCTTGTTGTTGTTGTTGTTGCTGTTGTTGTTGTTGTGGTGCTTATTCTTACTTTTTATTGCCATTCTTACATCGTTTCTAGGATTTGGGCCCGTTTGGGCTCCGGGTCCCAAGTCCTGCAACCCTGGATCCCTCTCTTTGCTCCCGGGACCGTGGAGCTCGAACCGCTGGTTGAGCGGAGTGTGGTTACTATAGGGGCCTTAATCATTAACATAGGGTAGTGGGGTATATCGTACTGAATGATTATGGTAAGGAGCCCCAATATAGCATTCGTACTTATTTAGGCCCCTATATTGCGGGCTCACTCGCATCACTTCAGCACGGAGACTATTGAATCCTCCGCGAAGCAGAACGCCCTATGAAAAGAGCTGGGAGACAAGCATTCTAACCAAGGCCCAAGCTGGGCATCATACTACGCTTACATTAGCACTGCTGTTTAAGTTTAGGACTTAGGAGTGAGGGTGCGACATCTTTTCCAACAGTTATTCCCTTGCAGTCTTTTTTGCGGCTTCAGGGCTTCAAACTTTAAGTCCACTACAAGCTCTCAGGAAGTCTTCGAGCTAAACCTTGAAAGGTTCAGGGCTTGAGGCTTTAGGGGGCTGAGCCCTGGACCTCGAAGAACTCAACCTGAAAGTGTGATGTTCGCTTGTGACTCGTCTTCTGGTGCTCTCGTCTTTCTTGTCGTCGTGTGATTTTTCACAGAAAACCGACACTCGTCTCGTTGCAACTGTTCTGTGGTCATGTCCGTGCCAGTTGTCCTATGCTCTCTAAGATGCTCTGAAAAGTCTTGAGTCACACCGATCGTTCTGATGCATCGAAGCTAGTGCCAAGCCAATCCCAAGAAGCCTGGGAAGCCCTCGATATGGACCCTTCAAGCCCAGGCCCAGAAAGCGTGTAGAACCCCCCCGGTTTAGGGGTATAGGGTTTAGGGTTCAGGGTTTAGGGCCCCTGCGCCTTACGACCCAAAGACCCGAAACCCTCAACCCAGACTCCGCGCCTCAGCCACGCACCGCCTCAATCTTCTCCAGCACGACAGGGAAAGAGGGCCGGGAGGCAGGATCGTGAGCCCAACAAGCCTGCGAAAACCGATGCTTAATGCAGGGGCCTGAATAAATAGAATAGGGTTCCTTCAAAGGGATCCTTAAAAGGTTCTATACGGGATCTATAATGGGGTTCTATAGTAGGGGCCTTAATGATTAGAATAGGGTTTTGGGCCCCTTTATAGTATACTTATAATAAGGAACCCTTAAGGAATAGTTTTTCAGGCTTCTATAGTAAAGAGAGCACTAAGTAAAATG